TAATTTCAGCACGTTGAACTTCTAACATTGTAGGAGTAAGAAACTTGCTTAAGCTTGTATCAAGTTCAGAAAATAGTATTTGCGGGAGTGTTAAAGAAGATGATGGAAGCTGAGTTTTCCAATAAATATATTTTGACTTTTTACATTCTTCATTTATGCAATTTTCTAAAACTTCAGAAAGTTCAATAAGACTAGTATTAGAATTTAAAATTAATCTTTTGATTTGAGCATTGTAGCTCTCAACCCGTGATGTCGTCTAAATACCGGCAGTAAAAATTTTCACTGTATATGCAAGTGCCCATACTTTTTTTGATGAATATAAAGTTTGTAAATATCTAATCACATTAGGTTGATTATATTTCTGAATTAACAATGCCCATTTATGTTCAAAAACTTCTGCAATAAGTGCATTTCGGGCTGTATAAAAGTCCTTGATAAATTCATGATATTGTTGACCCAATCGGGCTTCTAGATTTCTGGGAAGATTTTGAGCAATATGAAAAATACAATGCATAGCATGTGATTGTTCATACTCTTCAGATATTGCAAGATCCAAGGCTGGATCTGCATCTGTCATAATAACAGCAGGTACACAACCTCCTGTAGCTTTTTTTGTTTAACGCAAAACCCAGTGATAAGAGTCAGCAGATTCATCACCCATAAGTGCACATCCAACTAGTCGAGAAGATCCATAGTTATCAATACACAAAAAAAGAGAAAGTGCCATATCATATCGATTAGTTTTGACCGTATTATAATTTAGTATGATATCACTAAACTTTATCCAGAGAATTATCTGCTCAGAAGACATCCAAAATAATCTCCGAAGACTGTATGTCTCCCTATCCCAATCAATTGCAACATATCAGCGAGGATCATTATCTTTTTTTTTAAGCAAATCTTCATACAATAATGCAGCATCATTTGTAATGTCTTTTCATCTCTCATTGTAAAACTTCATTACCACCTTATGGATTTCAAAAAGGTAAATCTCACGATCAGGAAATTCTTTTTGTATAGCTCTTTGAATCTGTAATGGTTTCAGTTTAACAACGTTCATATAGAATTCTACCCGTTTGATTATTTCTTGTGTAAGTTCACTATCATTTAAAAATTCTACTCTGTGATAAGACAATTTATGATTATGTACATTATTTAGAGTAGTAATATAAATGTTTTTGTTGAGATTATTTTTTATTGGTTGTGAACAATTTACATGCCATTTACATTGTATACACTTCGTGCTTGATTCTCTAACTTATTTGGTGTTCTTCGATTTATATTCGCCACTATGTTCACAAAGCATCGTTCGTTTATGAGTAGCACCATCAGAAGTCTTCTCAATGTGACCTTTTTTTAAGCCAAACCCTTTCTGCCGTGCATACAATTTTATTGTATCATATGCTTCATCCCAACTTTGGAATATCCTTCCTTTATAGAGCTTTTCTTAAGAGTTAGTATATTCATTATCTTTTTCATTATTTTCATAACTAGCAACTACTAATTCATCATCAAGACTAACAGTCACTAAATCATCATCAAGACTAACAGCTGCTAAATCATAATTAAGACTAACAGCCGCTAAATCATCATCAAGACTAACAGCCGCTAAATCATCATCAAGACTAACAACTGCTAAATCATCATTCAACTGAGGTGCTTCTTCGTTATTTGCCATCTATATTACAAAAATAAAGAATTACTTATATCTATTCTTAATAAAATACATTATAAATTTCAAATTTACCTTTTTAAAACTTGGCTACTGAATTTATTATCTTGTTGGAAGCTTTACAATTTTAAAGTTTTTCAGTTAGTATTTGACTATAAAAATTTGAAGCTCAAGATATTATTCTTCTGCAAGCAATTTACCTTTATATGGTCTAATAAATCGTTAAATTTATTGTCTTAGTGAGCTCACACCTTTCAAACAGTCAGTTTGTTCTTTTCTACCAGCTTTACCTTTGTTGATAGTCAAATACGGTGCTTTGTTACTGAGTTTGTGAATTACGATGATCGTTAGGTTTGTACTTTCATTGATCGTTGAGTTTGTACTTTCGTTGATCGTTGGGTTTGTACTTTCGTTGATCGTTAGGTTTGGGCTTTCTTAATCGTTGGGTTTGGGCTTTCTTGATCGTTGGATTTGGGCTTTCTTGATCGTTGGGTTTGGGCTTTCTTGATCGTTGTGTTTGGGCTTTCTTGATCGTTAGGTTTGGGCTTTTGTTGATCGTTGGATTTGGGCTGCATTAATTTCTTTTTAATTAATATTTGATTGATCAAAAAATTCGTGAAATTCTAAAACACACTTTTTGCAAGTATAACCTTACCTTTTTATAATCTACTCGGTCGTTAGAGGTCTTTTTTTTATTTTTTTTTTACTGCTTACTCGTGCCTTTCGCTAGGTTGTTAATTTATTGCAATTATTCCTGTTTTCAAATTTTTTGTCATTTTTTATTAGTTAGCATTGACCAATGAATTCAAGATTTAATATATACTTTTTTGCAGACCAAAAAATTCATTAATTTCAGTATATTTTTAAGTAAAGAGAATTTACCCTTTTATGACCTATGTGGTCGCCAGACACTTGTGTTACCAGGAATGTTACCAGTCTTTGTTGCTAAGATAATTACGATTTATGGTCAGGGTTTATTAAGTTCGTTTGGTTTGTCACAACCACTAAAAAAAAGCACAGATTTGAGTTAAAGTAGCAGGTGCAACAGCTTTACAATAGTTAATTGAGGTTAATATTAATTTAATGAGCGGTAGTGAGAGTACTACAAGTAGGTTTGTCTTCAAAACGTTTTTTGTTAAGAGGTATGTACGTATATATGTACATACGTACGTTACAAGTAGATTTGTCTTCAAAACGTTTTTTGTTAAGAGGTATGTATGTACGTACGTACGTACGTACGTTCAATTTTTTTTTTACTGATTGAAATTCGTATTCTAATTGGTTGATCACTACATTATTAATAAGGCGCACAATAATGCAGGTGCATGATTAACATTTACCCAAATTATATAACCCTATATATAAAATTATTTATCTATTATGATAAAATTTAAACTATTATATCTTATAAAAAAAATATACCTTTATATGTAACAAAATTTTTCTGAGTGGACCTAAAATTTTCTGGGTGCACAAAATTATCAATTCTGATTGGTCAATTTACATAAAACTATAAGATAAATTTAATATTAAAATGTTATATCTAATTTTTAAAACTTCATATCTTGCTGAGTTTTTAACCAATTTTAATGAATTTACTATCATTAGAATCAGAAAAACCTATTCTACAAAATTTAAATAATAGTTAAAATTGGTTTACTTAATAAAAGTTTTTATAAAATTAAATATAAAAAAAATTTGCCATTAAGTTTATATATAATTTTAAAAATATACCGTCTACCCTTAAATCAAATTAAATTCAAATTCAGATTTTTAAATTAAATCAAATTCAAATAAGCCTAATATTTGATTTGATTTGATTTTGAGAAACCTAATATTACCTTTTAAACAAATATCTTACAAGTTAAATGCAAAAATATTAATACTGCCTTCATCCTAACTAAAGAACTTATTTGTGCAACTTTTATATAACTAAACCTTTTATAATACTGCTACTATATATAGTACTATTGCTTCATAATCTAATCTTTTTTTATAAACTTCTTATTTTGGTTTTGTATTATACTTAGACTTTTATAAAACTTTGTATTCAATTTTTATAACTTTATAGATTATAAAAACAAATTTTAATTAAAATTTATCTCCAGATTGTTAATTTAGTATGTGAAGGGTTTAGAAGCTTAACTGCTAAGCTATAGGATCTAAATCCTATAAATATTTTTTATATTAGCTTTACAATATATAGAATTAAAAAATATATATAGTATTAAATTTAAAAAATAATTATTAAGAAACTTTATTAGAGTGTAGTGACTTAATGAAGTTGGCAAGTTGTTGCACCTCCAAGCGGCAGAACTAGAGTTCAAATTCTACTAATGACAAAAATTTGAATTTATGGACAATATATTTAGAAGACTGTATCCTATTAGATTATAGAACCTATAATGAGGGTCGTATCAGCTTATATTAGAAGGTAGTAGAATATATAATATAATATACAAGTTACATAAAACCTGAGTAAAGCTCCTAAATAAATCTAGTGAATTTACAGAATATGAGAGCCCACTTGGCAAGACCTAAGTGAAGAAGTAGTACAGATCTTTGATAGTTACTATGTAAAAGATAATCAACTGGATATCAGAAAACCAAACAGAACCGAAGTGTTTGACAAAGTACTATACTAACCAGGCTAATGGATAACCAGAAGAAAGATTCTGCCTTTCTGAGTTATTGAATCAGAAGTTTAGGTTTCTGAAGGTATGGGAGAGATTCTGTAAAATAGATATCAGGTTTGAGTAAACTTTACAAGAGCAGTAGTAAGTAATTGTAGCGATTTCAGCTCGCAAATACTTATTCTTGAACTCAGCATAAGTTATCAAAAAAGCTAATCTGGAAATGTGTAAGACATAGAAAGATTAGAGAGTATATATTATACTCTCTTTATGTTAACCTAGTAGTATAAAAACTCTACTAGATTATCTATAGAATTAGGATACAAATAGTGTAGTACATATTAATCTAGGTGGTTTTCAATGAAGCAATATGAAGTTATAGATTAGCATAATTAAGGTGATGGTGCAAGACAAGGACATCAGAAAGTTTAATTGAATAATTCAAATAATAGTAGATTATAGATACAGCATCTAATGTAGACCCTAGTAATAGATAATTAGGTGCTTAAAAGGCGCAGATATAGCTAGAATGTACTCTTGTTAACCAAGAATATACTACTAAATATACCTAATAAAAATTCATCTTTCTGTAATATTGTGAAGAATAAAAAAAAAAAAAGAATCTTTATTCAATATTTAAAAAACTTCTAATAAAGTTTTTTAGATAACTATATAATCAAATTACTATATAGCACTAACTACAATACTCTAGATACTATTCAATCAACTATTAAAATTTTTAAATAATATTCTTCTGAGTATTAATTATAAGAGATATTATAACAGAAAAATACTTTATATAGTTTAATATTACAGTAGTTTAATAAGAATTCAAATATAAAATATTATATATATCTAACTAAATCTAACTAGAATAATACTTTAAATCTTATTTAATCCTCTGAATTATGAACTATGAAATGTATTTAAGTCTTTTTTATAAAAAATATTATAATAAAAGGATACTATAATCAATACTATACAGTAAATAAATTTTTTTATTTCAATTCTATGAATATGAGAATTAAAAAATAAAAAGTAAATATGGGAATGCCCACAGCAAAAGCAGGAGATGGGACTACATATTATATAGTCCCATTCTCTGCTTTTGCTGTGGACGTTCCCATATAAAGAAAAGTTTGCTAAAAGCTTAGTAAAAAAATTGTTCTATTAATAAATCTATTTTTAAAACTTTAAACAAAATTTTTTTAACAATCATCTAACAAAGTTCAATAAAAAATTTTTATTTCAATTTTACAAATATATAAAATTAAAATTAAAAAAAAATTATTGTCACCTTAAAATATTAAAAAAAAAAAAAAAAAAAGATTATTGTATTTAGTTGTGGTTACTAAAAAACAATCTAAAGTTAAAAAAACAACCCATCTGTTAACGAAAAACTTCAGATTTGTATACATGTATGTAATCAATTTTGATTGGTCGAGCATACAAAAGTTTATTGATAATCATCATGTGACCATAAACCGAGCATTATCCGAGACTGTAATACAGTATATATAAGTGCCGCTAAAAGAAAACCCGAAAATTTAAATGACTTATATTTAAATTTTCGGGTTTTCTTTTAGCGACACTCATATATATACTGTATAAGGAAAGATAAGTGATTCTACGTATATATTTTTGCTATAATTTTATACAGTATATATAAATTTAGATATAACATATCATGTGGCTGATATAAACACAACTTCCTACGTATAAGCAAATTTTTCAAACCAAAATCATGGTATATATATGACAAATACGAATTACTAATTAACGTTAATTTTATTAAGTTAAAAAAAATCAATTGCCTCACTAGAACTGGTCTAAACCAATTTTAATACCTTAACGTTAATAAAAAGATAATTCTACTTATATATGTTGTGCGTCAAATTAGAATCTGCGTCAGATTAGAGTCATTATAATTCCGCTAATACCAAACATAGGCACTCACCGACACACACGACATATCGATATAAACACTTCTATATAATTTGCTCTAATAAAAATGAAATAGGCTAAATTTTATAAGCCGCATCTAAGGGCTATTACGTATTCATGTCGATATTGTTTAACAAGATACGCACACAACAGTCTTGGTTTTATCCTTTAATTCTTTAATTTGGTTAATAATTTGATATCGATATCGATATCAATAACAATTTGAATTCCTTTTACATTATCGTTGTCTTTCGCAGGGGTTTCGCCTTTTGCAGGGGACTTCGTCTTTCGCAGGGGGTTTCGTCTTTCGCGGGGGGGTCATTACTTCAGGGGTTTCCTCTTTCGTTTTCTCTGATTTAGATTTCGTTTTCCATCAATACACAAAAATGGTTTCGCCTAACAACTATACTTCAAATGCTGACGATTCGAATGGACCTCTAATTTCAGAATCATCACAAGCCTCTGTTCCATTTACAAATGAAGATCTCCAGTTGAAAGCTGATGTAGACGGTTCCCCGTCTACTTCATGGCAAGAAAACCTATCTGGCACTGGGCTTCCGACAACTACTGTGGATACTACTACCATCACGACGACTTCGGCCAGTCCGAAAACGAGTTCTTTAAATATTGAGCACTTTGACTTAGATGAACAAGTTAGCACTCCAATTGCTTTAGATATTCCTCCAGCACCTTTTTCAAATTCATTTAGCGATATTACACAACCTTCAAACTCCAGTAATGAAACAAATGGCGCGCGCCGTCCTTTTAAATTACCAGCTTCTAAAACTTCTGCGAAGACAAAAAAAAGAAGAAAAAGCCTAAATGTCACTGTTGATAGTATTATGGATGATTCATTCGTGGACATGCCATTGAGTGGTGGCTATACTCCCGCTAGTTCAAAAAGAAATGCAGAATTTCACGCTTTGTTTCGGAGCGTTCCCGAGGAAGATTTTCTTATAAATGGTATCTATTGATCTTGATTCTTTTTTACGTGTTAACAAATAATTAACTTTGATGATTTTGTTTTAGATTATGGGTGTGCGTTGCAAAGAGAAATTCTTGTACAAGGACGTATATACGTTTCATGCAATCATGTATGCTTTAATGCAAACATTTTCGGATGGGTTACCAATGTATGTCCTATCTCGAACTTCATAACTTTATATAGTTTCGTTTTCACAGATTGTTTATAATGATAAATATTGATTTATAGTTAGTGATTGCATTTTCGGACATAGTTTCTATTGAAAAAAAGGTGACTGCGTTTGTCATTCCAAATGCCATTCAAATATCAACGCTTCACGCTAGAGTAAGTTGGCTTTTATGTTTTCATGAAATTTTGGCTTCTTACTTATAAAATCTATTATACATTCTTTATCTACATTATTTAGCATTTCTTTACTTCTTTCTTAGCAAGGGATACCGCTTTCGAATTGTTAAACGTAATATGGAAACAAACACATCCAGCACTTAACCAAAAACCATCATTTAATGAATCAGAGTACACACCTAACAAAAGCAGTGAAGCTTCAGATGCGTCATCAGAATCTTCAGAAATGAGCGATGAAGGTGAGAAAAATTCTATTGGATGCCATATGAGAGATTATAAAATATAAAGTAAATACCATAAAGTAAAATTCAGTGGAAGTGGTATTTTTGATTAATTCGATCAGGTAAATCACAAGGTGGCCTTCATAAAAAATTTGAATTACCAAAATTGAAACTTGATCGAATCAGATTTGTACGCAGTGGGTCATCATTAGAAAATGATGATAGTAAACAGCATAAAGATTCAGATTTCGAAAGTAAAGTTCATTCATTACCTTCATCTCCCACAAAAAGCGGATTTGAGGATGATGCGTTGTTAAAAGGAAGCAAGGGCCATCGATTGAAATCAAAGTCTATGGCAGAATTAAAATCGTCAGTTCTTGACATTACCAATATTTCTGATTTAAAAGCTTCAGAAACTAGTGAAGCAGCTCTTCATCCTATTTCCCCGCGCACCCAGTCTCGCCATCTTGTAAGATCTAATACAAACCTTAAAAGGCGACGAGCTTCTACGCAATGCCCATGTTTAAGGAACGGCCAGCATTATGAAAATGTTTCTTTAGATGCAACATTCACAGGAACAGTGGAGAAGTTATACAATTTGATAATGACAAGCGGGTTTGTAAAACGTTTTATTATTGAAGAGGAAAAATGTACAGGTATTTTTTTCGTGTCATTTTTTTTTTTTTTTTTTTAAAGGTGTCGATTTCCTTGTATTATGTAAGATAATCCCAATGATTATTATTACTATTAAGATGTTGACATTGGAGAATGGAAAACACAAGACGGTAAATTGAGACGATCGTCAAGCTTCATAAAGCCATTGAATTACTCAATAGGTACATTAAACTAATTTTATCTGTTTAATGAGTTACCATTTGTTTGTGCTATTTTTTCTAATTTTGTGTCTGCAGGCCCAAAAAGCACCAAGTGTTATATAGAAGAAGAATGTTTGCATAAAGATTTCGACAAGTGTGTTAAAACAATTTTTTTTTCAATATTTTTTACGTTTTTTTTTTTCTTAAAAAAAAACCCCCAAATTTTCCATTATCGTTATATATAGTTACGTGACAACCTTGTCAACGACGACTACACCCGATGTACCGTCTGGTGGAAGCTTTTGTGTAAAAGCAAGGATATGTATAATGCGTGTAGGAGCTAACGAAACTAGAATAATCATTACTTGTGCTGTCGAGTGGTCAAAATCCAGCTGGCTTAAAGGTGTGCACAAACCGGTGTAGGTTATGTGATTCTCATGTTTTAGTAGTGTATAAATATTTCTTACTTTCGTAAATAATGATAGGACCAATTGAAAAAGCCAGCATCGAAGGGCAGCAACAGTACTGGCAGAATCTCGCGCAAGAAATTAAGAAGTATATTGCAGTACATCCTTCAGAATTCCAAGACGAATCAGGATCACCGGTTCGGGAGCGTGTGGAAGCTGATGAAGTCGAAAAAGATTGGGTTAAGAGGACACAAACTCGATCCAAAGAGCGTACTCGATCTTTTCAAATGCCAACTGAGACTACTGTTATAGAACAAGCAGAGCCGACACCAACACAACGTCAAATCGCAGGAGTATGGGGCACTATCATAGAGGTCCAGAGTATTTTATCTTCTATATTGTCACCGATATTTCAAAACATTTCTATTCCGTCAACCAATGCTATGATAATGTGGGCTATATTAATAACGATGATAGCGAATTTTTACAATTGGTTTCTTCTACGAGGCATTGGGTACAGACTCGATAATATCGGAGGAAACAGTGTTCCTGTTTTCGGGCGTGGTCGTAAAAATGAGTTTTTCTACGAAACTCGACGGCAGGAATTTGCATCATTTCTTGATGATCGAATTGAGAATGAAGATGTATTATGGCAGTGGCTAAGCGACAAATCAAAAATATACGAAGATTACCAGAAATATCATGATCAATCTGAGAATGAAGATGAATCTCTGCCAATATCATCACAAAAACTGCATGAAGAGATTGAAGATTTACATAAATTGTTACAGGCTGCGGAAGGTCACATTAAAAAATTGTCGGATATTGTTGAATTTGAGAAGGCTTATTATCAAGAGAAAATAAAAAAACCTTAAAAATTGGAATATTACACTTAGTGATCAAGTATTGACCAAATATTGAAATTTGATGTGAACTTATAAAAAAAGGATTAATTAAAAAGATATATATAAAGCTTTAAATATTTTTTTTTTCGTTAAAAGTTATAATGTTTAATGTACGTACGTATCGGTATTTTTTATAAGAAAAAATGTACGAGTACGTACCTATCGGTCGAAATTATGGTTCGGAATTAGTGTTCCGCACGGATCGGATCGGACGGATATTTTTAAAATCCGGATCCGATCTGAAAAACCGGATTTGGGATGGTTAAAGTGGAGCTAAGTTTAGGGTTACCTTTTTGATGCAGTTATGGTTATTTGGTTATATAGATATCAATAATGTAACTTATGCAGTATGTAGATCATATGGGCTAGGTGCTGAGTAGTGTTCCAAAACGGATTGAAAATCCCGGTTGATCTGGGTTTGATCCGTATCCGATCCGAATCCGTAATACGGATTGAACCAATTAATCCGAAATACGGATTGATCTGATAAATCCCAAAAAGTAAAAAAGGTAAAAATGTATATATATACGTATGTATGTATGTACATATCTGATATTAGATATATATCCTTTTATTGTACATATGTACGTACATACGTATACATTTGAAAATCATATGTATTATATGGGTGACGCCAAGAGAAAACCAGGAATTCTAAAAATAGACTTCCATCCACAGCGAAGTTGCGGGGTTTT